CATGAGAAGTACCTCACTGAATCTTTATAAGTAATTCTGAAAAGCATGAAATAGAATTTCTATATCTAGATGAGTGGAATTAACTCAGAGCTATTTTTTCAAATTCCCATAGCTGCTAACCGGCGGAACTTGTTCAGACCCTGCTCCACCCAGCTCTGCTGTTGGTGGCCCCTGGGGTTCAGAGCCATCCAGGGATTCTCCCCCTCACACCAGCGTGCCTGGTCCAAACCTAGACCCACTTGCTCACAGCTTCTCCAACTTGCTGTGAACTAGTGTCTCCCACCTGAGTGAAACCTCTCCCTCCAATGTGTTCTGTTCTCCAGCCAGTTAGAGCTGGCGGGTGCCTTGATCTGAATCAGGACAGTCCTGTGTTGCCATGGGTGAGGAAGTGAATGTCAGGATGGAAGGCCCAGGGCAACCAGCCAAAGCTCCTTCTGGAACTCTGTGAACACAGATGAAGATGAATGAAACATACTTCCTTGCCCCTCATTCATTCACTTATCCAATGTTTATTGAGTGCCTGTTAGTGCAGGTGCTTGGGATTGTCATGAACTAGACAGTCTCCCACTCTGGGACCTCATGACCAGGTAGGGAGCAGTGGCTTGGAGAAAGGACCTTATCTCCTAGTGGGATTAAAAACTTTGGATTTCTTCTTAGATGCCCAGCTTGTTGATTTGACTTTATTTTTCTAGATTTCATCTTTAAAAAACATTACGAAAGGAATACACTCTTCCAAAAAAATTTTTTAAAAGGCCAGGATTATAGTGTATCTTCCTCCTTGCCCTACCACCAAGCTAATCCATTCCCTAGAAGTAGAACGACTGTGAATAATTTGGTTCTGTCTTGCTGTACTTAAAAAATTCATTTACAACCCCTCTTGCCCCCCCAGCCATATGTGCTCACGTTATTTAATTATATATCATATCTTTCTATGTCATTACATGTTGGATTTACCTTATTCTTTTAGGCTGCTGCACAAAATTTTACAATGTGGATATACCATATTTTATTTAAATAGCCCTCTAATTGTAAGTAGTTTCCAGTTTTTCACTATTTCTAATCATGATGCGGTTAAGTGGTTTCATATAATGTTTATAATATGTAATGTGTGTATAAATAAAAAAAGAACACATATTTAGAGAAGTACTGCCGGAATGTAGATTCCCACAATAAACTGCAGGGTCAAAGGATGAGCACATTTAAAGATCTGATCACTATTGCCGAATCACCCTCTGAAAAGGTTCTCCCAGCCTGTGCTGATGTGGGTGGTGCGTGCAGGCCCCTCCCCACGGCCTCACCGCAGCTGACCTTGCATTTAGAAGGATCAGTCTGCTCATGAGCTGCCTCCACTTGCGTGACACTGAAAACTGCATCTATTTTTAGTTGAAAGAAAATAACCCTCATGGGTCAGGATATTGAGTAGTTCACAGCCTGATTCAATCTGATTTTTGGAACATAAATTTATTCCTGTCCTTAGTGTAATATTAAAAAAACACAGTCACGTTTTTGGGAGGTGGGGCTCTTGATTTGTGTCTCTCAGCTTTTCCCAGAATAAGATATCCTCTTGAAAAATCGTGTAGCCTACCGAAGAACACCTGATCATTCTTGCCTTTGATGGATTGGGTTAGAATGAGTGAAATCTGTTGGTTAGGATCTGAGACTGCTGCACATTACTTATCTCATCACCGTGACTGGGAGGTAGGAGCAGAATGCAACGTGGAGATCGACATTTGTTTGTTCACTGAGTTTGACACGTGTCCTCGCCAGCGTACCCAGACAGCTGGGCCGTGTGATTTGTAGCAGTGGCCAGGGCTTCCCGAGCCACTGTCCCAAGTACGGATTGGCCGTGGCTTCAGGGACTTCGTACTCAGCACCTGCAGGGTGCAGCGCCAGCTCCTTGCTGTGGCTTTCACAGCCTGGACCTCAGGGTCCCAGCCTTCTGTGCACTCCTCATTTTCTGCTGCTCCTCAGACCTTCTTGCTCTCATCCAGGCGAGAGTGCTCCCCACTCGGTGCTCCTTTTCTCATCTTCGCCTTGCTCACGGGACGGCCTCTGTCTGACGTGCCTTTACCTCTGATTTTTGCCTCTCAACATTTTTTCTGCCTTTAATGACTGGCTCAAACACCAGAGTCCTCAGAAGCCTTTCCAGGCCAGGATCCGTGACCCCAGGCAGCTGTCATCAACTCATGGGCCTCGATCCTGTCACGGAGTGGCAGCACAGGCTGGGCACGGACTCCTGTAGCCGTCCATTGGTTAAAGTGAGTTCCCACCCTGGCTGTGTCTCACAGGCCTCCCTTGAAGGTCTTCTGCAGCCACAGCTGGAACAGGTGGCACGACTGAGACTTGACGAGGGTTTGCGACTCGCTGTTCTGATGAGTCCAGGCCATTCGAGTGAGGTTGTGTTTGTGATTACCCAGAGAGATATTTAGAAAAACACTCAGCATGCTAGAGTACCAGGAAAAAGATGCCCTTTCATTTAGGGTTTTTGGACTCCTTACTGTTTCCCGACTCTGTTTCCCTTGAATTTGGGCACCACTCAAATTTTATGCTTGGCGGTGTTTGTCTAATGGAAAAACCAGCCTTGCAGATAGCCACTTCCCTGGAAACAACAGAACATGAGAATCATTTTGTTTGTCTTTTGCTGAATTTAATGACTTCTTTGAATATGGTCAGCCCATGAGAAGTGATCTGCAGAGCAGATCGTCATCTTGTTCGTAGAGTAGGTATAAAGCTTGCTTGTTATTGATTAAAAAGAACTATAGCAAATACAAATGGGAAATCTATGAAACTCCCTCATATCCAAATATGTTTAATAAGTAGAAGGAAAGTAAAGAACGACTATTTTCTAAAATATCTACATCCTTGAACTAAAGTTCTTTTGGGGCCTAAATTTGGACAATAATTGCTCTAACTTTCTACCTTATTTAATATATATTTTTATATTCATGTAACCAGAAATCAGCGTCTCCATGATTTAATAAGAATGAACACGTACTGTGTGTTCACAGATAAATCAGTTCACCTGTGGCGTAAGGAATATTTGTCTTCTTAAGCCAGTATTTTAAAAATGGGAAATCATCATTAGTAGATTAATTAGGGTCTTTTTTTCCCTCTCTTGCCCACATCAGCTCATTCTTTCTTTCTCCTGAACTTGTCTTAGTTTATTTCAGTCATTATTTGCCAGTAAAAGATAGGATGATGTGTTGAATAGAAGGTCTGACGGGGAGTCAGGGGCCTGGATTCTGGAAGCAATAGTCATTAGCTCACCCTAGGCCTTTGGCCCAAGTTATGTCTCCCACTCTGAGATTTGGTTTTCTCATCTCTAAAATGAGAAATTAGACTAGATAATCCCTTAGGTCATTGCTAGCCCAGAAGTGCTTTGCTACTGGGTTGTGTGGCTGAATTACACAAGTCTGTGTGTCCTACAGCTGAGAGTTGTTTTTCCAAGCTGAGCCTTAGTTGGAATTGTGAGGGATTAGCTAGGCTCTGTGGTCGTGCACCTGCCATGCACCAGGGACTGTCCTTGGTGCTGCCAAGGATGGTGAGTAGCCTGTCCCTTCCAGGAGCTCATGATCACGTAGGAGGGGACATTCAGAGCTCCGTATAATGAGGCAGTTGGGGGGGGGGGGAAGTATAATGAGAGAGATGCTGATTTTATAGGGTGTTAGTGAAGGAGAGATTAATTCTGATTGGCTGAAGGTGTCAAAGAAGGTTTCAATGAGAAGGTGTCCCTTGAGCTGAGTTTCATGAATATCAGAGGTGAGTTTCATGGATAGGATTTCAAAGGATTGGGAGCTCATCCTAGGTGGAAGCGGGAGGGAGAGGAGAGGCTGGGAGATGAGCGCGTGCACGGTGGGCTCACGGAAAGGCAGGCTCGGTGCAGAGCGTGGGGTGGGTCGAAATGAAACAGGAAGGTAGGCGGGACCAGAGTATAGAGGGCTGCGGGGGCCAGGCTAAGACCACGCTTGGGTGAGGTCAGAGCCTTCATTTCCTAGGGTGGCAGGTGATGAGCCTTTCCTTAGGACTGCATGTGGGACCTCAGAGTCCCTTTCTTTTACAAGAGCAGCTCTCAACAGAGGGTGATTTTGTCTTTCATGGGATATATGGCAGTGTCTTGGGACATTTTTAATTGTCAGGACGAGTGTGTTATTGGTACCTGGTGGGTGGAGGCCAGGGATGCTGCTAAATACCCTACAATGCAGCATTGTAGGGACCTCTTTCTCCCCAACAAACATTTACCAGTCTAAGATGTCATTGTTGAAAAAGCCAATCTAGAAGCTCATCTTGGAAAGTGCTCTCGAAAGTAATCTTTCTGTTTTAGTCTGTTTTGTGTTGCTATAACAGAAATACCTGAGACTGGGTAATTTATAAAGAAATTTGGCTTACGATTCTGGGACAGCTGCATCTGGCACAGGCCTCAGGCTGCTTCTACTCATGGTGGAAAGTGGCAGGGAGCCGGTGTGTGCAAGCAGATCACATGGCCAGAGGAAGCAGGAGAGAGAGAGAGAGAGGAGGTGCCAGGGTCTTTTTAAACAACGAGCTCTCGCGGGAACTAATAGAGCGAGAACTCACTCATTAATCCCCCCTCCCCCAGGGAGAGCATTAATCCATTCATGAGGGATCCGCCCCCATGACTCAATCAGTTTCCAGCACTGCCATATTGGGGATCAAAATTGCACATGAGTTTTGGAGGGGACGACACATCCAACCTCCATCACTTTCCAAACTACTTACCTCTCTGGGTCAGTGTTTTTAAGAGAGATGTAAAGGAGAAAACTCTGTGCTAAGCCTGGGTATGGATTGCTTTCTCTCTGTGCTCTGGTGTTTCCCCAGGGCCCTGCTCCAGCTGCCAAAACTGCTGGAGGCACAAGGGTGCTCTCTGTGTGTATTGCACCTTTATTCACCCGCCCTTCCGACCCCTGGGTCCCACTCTGCCCTGTCACCTGTCCTGTGTCTGGAATTGTTGCTTTTTCCTGTAGTACTTTTGAATAAAATTAGCATCTCAGACCCCTGCAGGTGGCAGCTTTTAGGACTTTGATGTGAAGAGCTATACATAGAAATAGTGATTCTTTTAAAAGATCACATTAATTAAACAGCTAAAATACGAAGATGTTTAGTAATTAAAATGGTTACTTGATATAGGCAGATGCATGCCTGTATGCCAAACAAGCTGATATTTCTAGATTTTTTTTTGACTTAAAACTTTCTTCTTTCTCGGTTTTGCAGAACATATTATTAAGCAATTCTAGAGCCAAGTCCTTTGGTTATTCTAAAATGTTCTTGGTAGAATAGTAAGTAGAATAGGAAGTGGATAGTTTGTATTTGTTCAATCCGCAAATATTTACTAGTTGTCTGCTACATGCCAGGCACTGTTTTTGGCACTGGGGTTATAACAAGGGATGAGACAAAGTTCTTGTCCGTAGAGTTTAGGGACTAGTGAGAGATACAGTCAAACAAGGGACTGTAGCCTAAGATTAGTGATAGGTGCCATGAGAAAGAACAAGGGGCTAGTGTCTGGGCGAGGCGTGAGAATGTGTGTTTTGTTGTGTTAGAGGGTCAAGGGAAGGGCCCCCTGGGGAGATGGGACTTGAGCAGGGACCTAGATAAGCAGAGGGAGCCAGCAGGCCCTAGAGGTGGGGGGGTCATATCCCAGACAGAAGAAATAGCATGTGAAACTGCCCAGTGCAGAAATGAGCTTGGTGAGTTGGTGGGACGATAAGATCCGTGTGCTTTGCCAGGAGTGAGGGACCGGACAGTTGTAGTAGATGGGGCTGTAGAGAAGGGTGGGGGCCAGGTCTTACGGCCTCGTGGGCCATGGCAAAGGATTTAGATCACATCTGACAGGTGGCAAACCTGGGGAGGAGGGTTTTCAGCATCAGCGGACCAATTTTAAGTTTTCTTAGGGTACAGTGTGGAGACCTGATGGAAGCAGGGAGACGCTTTAAAGCTGTTGCAGCCGGGGGAGCCTGGAGGCCGTGGTGGTGGGGCCAGGGTAGTAGCACTGGCGGTGCCGAGGGATGGTTTGGGGTTGGCGTTGGGGTGGAGCTGAGAGGACCTGCTGAGGAAAAGTAGAAACCAAGGGGGCCCTGAGATCGTGGCTTCACCCCTGGTTAGTGAGAGTGCCATCTGCAGAGGTGGAGAAGACGCGGGAGGAGTCCCAGTGGCTGTGTGGCTCCAGCCAGGAGCGGGGATGGGCAGTATGAAGGGCGCATGTGCTGGTGGGTTGGCCAGTCTGCTCCACCTGCACCTTGGTGTCTATAGCAGTAAAACCAGGGTGTAGCAGTAAAAATACCATCTAGGTTTAAGCTGGAATGAAGGGAGAGAAATGAGTGGATGGGTACGCATGCATGTAGCACAGCTGGCAAAACTGAGCCCTGGGCATGGGAGGGCAGCGAGGACTCTAAGGCAGACACCGACATGGGCACCCAGCCATGTTCTCGTGGGGATGAAGCCATGTGCTGTGGAGCGCTCAGTGAGTACAGTGGCATGTGTTTAGGCTTGTTTTTCAATCGGAAGTGAGATTGTACAGAATGTGGACTTTGCATGTCGGGGAACTTGCAGCAGTGCCGTTCTTCCTGAAGCAGAGGTAGGTCAGGGCTTGTGAATGCAAGAGCGTTCCATTTTGTGATGCCATTAAATGTGGACCTTTTGTCTCTTTTTCAGAAACGGGTACAAGTTTCTCTACTGTTCTGCACGTGCCATCGGGATGGCAGACATGACGAGGGGCTACCTGCACTGGGTCAACGAGAGGGGCACGGTGCTGCCACAGGGACCGCTGCTGCTGAGCCCAAGCAGCCTCTTCTCTGCCCTGCACAGGTGCTGCCCCTGTGTGGTCCGCTCAGTCCCCACGCCCAGACCTTTTCAGACCCCCTCCCTTCCTCGCTGGAAGCTTTGCAAGAACAGCCTCTTACCTGGTCTTCCCTAACCAATAGGCATGCTCCCTAGTGGGCAACAGAAAAGTCATCCTAAAATGCAGGGCTAGCCCCATCATCCTCGTCAGTTACCCTCATTGGCTCATCAGGCTCTGGGGATAAAGTCCAGGTTCATTAGCCCGGCACCTGGTGACCCTCCATGACCTTCCACTGCCTTCCTCTCCAGTTTCTGTCTGCATTCTCCAGACCATGTTCTCCGCTTGAGCCTTGCACCTGCTGTTTTCCTTTTCTGGGCAGCTCTTTCTCCCTCTCTCACTGAGTGGCCTGACCGAGTCTTAATGGCCCTTGGAGAATGAACTTGTATCTCATCTCATTGGGGAACCTAGTCTGGGTTAAGCGGCCCCTCTTCCAACTGCCACCGTCCAGCTGGCTGTGGATTCCCGTTACACTTGTTCTTTCTCCGAGTTCTGGGAGCCCTGTTTATTTCAGTGGTCTTCTAAGAGGCCACTAGCCAATTGCTGACTGCCCTCCTGCCTTCACCTTCTGGGCTGTGTGCAAAGCAGCTGAGCCAAACTAGCTCAGGCCCCGTGGAGGAGGTAGGAAACCTCTGGACTTCCCTGTAGTTTGAGGCTCAGGGCAGTCTCCTGGATGTCTCTCAAAGCGTAACCTATTGTAATCAACTGCAGGACATTGGTCCCTGCTTAAGGCTGATTGTAAGTATCATATACTTGGCCTTTAAGATCCAGTGAAAAGCTTTGACATGACTTAGCCCGAATCTGAGGATCAGTTTAGCTGCTTGCTGCTGCTAATCATGCAAATGATGGAAGAATCTAGACGGACCCAAAATGCCATGTTGATTCTTGAATATTTTTCTTTAGCTCTGTAGATACCTTTTCCATTACAGTTTTGTTTTGTGTGAGCAATAATTTTTTTTCCTGTAGTAAAAGATCTCAAGTTGAAAACTGCACATTCTAGGGAGAAAATTCAGGCAAAACTTTTAGTGCATTTCATTCAAGTCCTAAGAGTTATTGTGACAAGATAGATCTCAGTAGAAGTCCAGATATTTTAATGAAACTGTGCCTCTGAGCTGTGTTGACAATTTGCAACAAGCCACTCATTAGCATATGTTATGTACTAAGGCTTTGCTAGGCAAAGTAAAAAGCTGACATTATTACTCTGATGTCCTCCCACTAAAAATTAGTTTAAGGTGATTCTTTTCACTTCCTCACTTAAATATCATTGTCCCAAATATATTAGTTATTCCCTGTGAGGAATTATTAAAAACACACAAAATGAAACCTCACAATATGGCAAATAGCTAATAGCCTGGTCCTTTCGAGCACTACAGTCTAACCAAAGCCCTCTCATGTTTTGGCCGTCATTAAGACTTTCTAGAATTGATGGTGAAGTCTGCCATGAGCACAAATAGCCTTCCTTAGCCAGATTCCTTACCTGGGTGCAGTCTGATGATACTACCTAGGTTTAAACTGGAATGAAGGAAGAGAAATGAGTGGATGGGTACGCATGCATGTAGCACAGCTGGCAAAACGGAGCCCTGGGCATGGGAGGGCAGCAGGGACTCTTAGGCAGGCACCGGGAGCTGCGGGCTGTGATGCTGCTCGGCCACTAATTAGACTGCAGTGAGACCAGAGAGCAGGTGCCCCTCCTTCTGGGGCTATTTCCTCACCTGCCAAATGACGAGGTTGAATTAGATGGTCTCAAGGGTCCTTATCAGCTATAAAATGCTATGATTGTAGGAAAATGTCTGAAAAAAGAAGTTGAGAGGATCTATTTCACACACCTACTCTTTTGGTTCAGGAGCTGCTCCCATTAAGGTAGAAATTGGAGTTGAGTCATGTGATTCTTTTTATTACCCACACTGTTTTGTTGTGCAGATGGAGCTACCCAGATCATTTCCATCAACCCTCTATTGGTACAGTGTGCATTCCTGACAACTCTGGCTCCAGTCTCATGGGGCGGGGGTGTACTGCTGATGAGTTGAGCTGATAGGCGGCCTTTGCTAATTCCCATGACTCTGGGTTACCGGGCCGAGTTGAACTTAGGGAACAACAGAGCCTGGCCTCTATCTCATGGAGAGAAGAAATTATTCCATGAGTAATTTTGTTTTCCCTTTGGGGTTTTCTGAGCTGACGTGAGACTTGGACAAATAACACTCATTTTGCTAGAGTAAAATTACCTCTAGGATGAGGTGAGTAACTGTTTGCAAATTCAGATCATCAGAGAGGATAAGCCAAGGTACACTGTAACCTACTCGCTGTGGCAATTCTCAGCTTCCCTCCTGCTTACTCCCACGGTGTCCCTGCTACCAAACGAGGGGTCAGGCACCTTCAAGGCATGTGGACATCCTCCACAGTGTGCGTGTGTATGTGTGTGAGAGAGAGAGAGACAGAGGGAGGGAGGGAGGGAGGGAGGAAAGAAGGAAGGAAGGAAGGAAGGAAAGAGAGATATTGAAGCAGAAACTTGAATTTGGGTGGTTCCCCTCCAGGGGACTGAAGTTTGAGGCATAATCATAGTCATGCATGGATTTATATGTAAGGGTCCTGACAGGTAGAATGCAAGCCCCTCACTTTGGTGTTAGGAAGGACCCTGGAGCCCACAGAAGTCATGGCAGAGCCAGGACCAACCCTTGGTTCTGCTGACACTGTTTTGTGCTTCATCATACCATCATCTTCATCTTCTAAGTGACGTTTTTGAGTAGATACAAAAGAATATTTCTAAAATATGTGCAAGCTGTAAAGGATAAGCAAACAGTGAACACCAGGCTACGTGCCACCCAGTTGAAGAAAAAGGACAAACCATTACATCTGACTTCCCCCGAATGCTCTCGTCACCCCCCTGCCCTGCCAGTCATAACTTCTGTCCCTGAATTTTGTGTTAATCATTCCTTGCTTTCCTCAATAGTTTTATCACACATATTCGTAATCCTAAACAGTGTGTGTAATTGTGCATGATTGTGAACTGTGTATCAGTGGAATCACGTGTTCCTGTGGAGCTTGCTCTTTTAACTCAGTGTTACGTTCCCAGGATTGTTGGGTGTAGCTGCAGTTCATTCATTTTGCTATACACCATCTGTTGTACGACCTCGCCATGGTTTGTTTATACATCCTACTGTTGATGGATGCTTGAGTCATTTCTAGTTTCTTGCTATTAAAGCAGTGCGTCTTGTATGTGTCACCTGGGGTGTGTGCGCACCAGTTGTTCTGAAGTGCATCCTTGGGACTGGGATTTTTGCACCAAGGGTTCTGCACACCTTCAGCTTTAGTAGGTCATTCCAAACAGTTTTCAAAGTAGTTGAGACAATTTCTGTGCCCAGCAGCAGTTTATAAGTCTTCCGTTTGCCAACGTGTTGTAAGACTTCCTTTCCTCCTAGTCTGGTGGGTATGAAATGTCTCTTTTCATGTGTTTATTGGTCATTTGGGCTTTCCTTTCTGTGAAGTGCCTGTTCAAGTCTTTTTCCCATTTTCTTTCTGATTTGGAAGAGCATGTTATATATTCTATATACTTAAGGCTTTGTTATGAGTGCTGCTGTTCCCAGTTTATAGCTTTTGATGAGCATAAATTCTTAGTTTCATGTAAATAGTTTCATGTGGGGAATCAACACATCATTTCCTCCATAGCTTGTGTTTTTTGTGCATTAACAAAGTCTTCCCTGACCTGTGGGCCATGGGTTTCATTTGTCCCAGCACTGTTTCCTGAAAAGACTGCCCTTTCCCCACTGCTTTGAGATGTCCTTGTGCTTTTGAGTGTTCATCAATCTGTCTCTGTTTTGTTCCACTGGCAAAGCGCTAGACAAATTGAGCAGCACCACAGTGTCTCAACCACTGTATCTTCTTCATAAGCTCTGCTCGGCACTCCATCACCAAAGATAATCTGGCTGTGCCTGGCCCTTTCCTTTTCCATGTAGCTTTTAGAATCAAGTTCCACAAAAACATACAAAAAGCTGTCATGAGTGTGATTGAAATTACAATGAATTTATAGATCAATTTAGGGAGAATTCATATCTTAATATAGAATCTTCCAATTCAAGAATATGGTTTATTTCTTCATTTATTTAGGTCTTCCCTAATATATTTCAATAAAGTTTGATAATTTTAGCCATAAAGGTCTGGCATATCTTCCTTTAAGTTTATTCTTTGACATTTAGTATTTTAAAATGCTATTTTAAATACTCTGCAGTTGATTTTTTTTTCTTGTGCATTGACTTATTAACCTTATTAAATCTTAGATGATACATCTGCAGGTTCTTTGTTTTTTTATAGGTATAATTTTTTTGTGTGAATAATGATGGGTTCCCCCCAACCCCCATTCTTTCTAATCCTTGTAACTATTATATATTTTTCTTACATTATTGCACTGGACAGGACCGTGGTACAGAATTGAATTGAAATGGTGATAGAGCCCACCATTAAGTTCACGATTAACAGGATGTTTGCTGTAGGTTTTTGCGTATTCCCTTTTATTTCTGGTTTAAGAGTTTTCATCCTGATTACATGTTAAATTGTATCAAATGCCCTTTTTATTTTTATTGAGATGAGTATGTCTTTTTCTCTTATAACCTGCTATATTCATCAGTTTTAAATATTAAACTACTCTTGAATTCCTGGAATAAACCAAAATTTTATGTATTGCTGCTGCTTGCATAGATGTATATATTTAGAAATCTTGCACTTACACTCACAAATGAGATTGGCCCACATTTTGCTCATATTTTTTTCTTTAGGTTTCGTTTTTAAGGTTATACTGGCCTCATAAAGCGAGTTTGGAGATGTTTCCTCTTTTTCTATGCTCTGGAATTCATTGTACCTTGTATGACCAGTAGAACTCTTTGGTGAAATGATTCATCCTTAGTGTTTTCTTTGTGGGAAGGCTTGAAAGCATGGATTCACTTTCTGTATTGTTTATCTGGGACAGCTTAACTGACTTACGCATACTTAACTTTTGAAGATTTGAAAGTGTTCTTAGTGTTGGGGCAGCTTTGACAAATAGTTTGATGCTAATGAGGGTTATCCTCTTATGCTGATCTATTATTTGTTTGTTTTAACAGAGAAGTGATTGAAAAGAAGCCAGAAAAGTTTAAAGTCCAGTGTTTGACAGACATCAAAAACCTGTTTTTCCCAAATACAGATCCCTTTTATGCTGCTTTTGGAAACCGACCGGCTGTAAGTACTGGTTAGTTTGGGTATATAAAAACTCTTGACATGACCATCTTTTCTGTAGCAGTCACCTGCAGGCCCTGGCCTAGCACTACATGTAAAGCCAATTTCTCATCCTATACGAAATAGCCTGGGAAATAGCCACTGGCCTGCACTGAAAGGCAAAGAGATTAAAAATGGTTTCAAGGCCTCTAGTTTTCTATGGAGGTTTGGCTAGTGGGTTTGAATCTTGAGATATGGGATTGGAAAACTCCAAATTGCAAACTGCTTGTTGAATTAGTGAAACAAGAACATGTAATAGGATTAAATTCTTTCTACCAGAAGGGAGCCACAAAGCCAATGCCATCCACAACGATGAATTCAGCGTCTCAAGTCTTAAGAGTGTAGTTGTCTCATATGGTGAGAGAAATGTTGTGAGATTTTTGTGTGTACTGCCCAAATTTACTGGAAAGTTTAGGATTCTGGAGAATATAGTTGAATACTAAATGGTCAATCAGAAAATTCTCCTACTTTTGAAAATCATGGCAGATTTCCATAATGTGGGAAAATGGGTCAGAGAATAATCTTAAGGATGTTAGAATTGCCGGGGATGTGATAAGTTGTCTGCACTTTGACTCAGTTTCTGAACAGATGAGGGAATTGAGGACCAGAGAAGAAAGCTAATTGAATAGTTTCCCATCAAAGGACATTTGTCACCACAGTACTTTGAGGTATAGCTTTGTTTAATGAAAATTTGATATTACATCAAATTAAAAATATCATGTACTTGTTTTTACAATGAATTCTTTTTTCTAATAAGCACTTTAAAATCTCCTTTGCTGAATATAGGATGTGTATTCATACAAGCAAGTAGGAGTGTCTTTGAATAGAATATTTACTGTCAATCCTAAAGGAGAACTAGTGCAGGAACACGCCAAGACCAACATCTCATCGTGAGTATTGTGCATATTTTATGTGATTACTCTGTCGGTACCATTATCTTGAAACAGTGCTTTATGATATACCTTTTAATCCTTTGCAGCCTACATTTTCATCTTTAATTCCTATAAGGAAAAATATATTTTAACTCCTTGTATTTTGTCCAAAACTTAATTCTTAGACAATTGGAATTAAATCAGATTCCCTGTGGATCTAAAATTTAAACTTGTGGTTAGATTCTGCTACAGAATGGAATTGAATGAATTCAAAAACTAGTAGTTTAGATTCGCCAAGTTAGGTTTGAAAGCTTAGAGTGTGAATTAGAAATGTAACCAGATTGAAACATGTGAAGCTGTATTTAAAGATGAGGAACTATTTATCTCTTCTCATACTGAATGTTTCTTACCAGACACATTGCTGTGTAATTGTTAAGAATTCCCCTCATATTTCTGGTCAAAGCCTAGTTTGCCTGAGTCAGTGGGCTCAATTGGATTACTGTTGTTCATGAGGCTCCATGGTTTGCTTTAGAATCACTCTTGGTTTTCTCATGTCTCACTCTGGGTTCCTAACTTCTTAGAATGGAGAGCGTTTTCTACTCCTTCCATGTGCTGGGGGCTCTGCCCACTGGGTGACACCCATCCTGGCAGACCACTGTCTTCCTGCCTTGTCCGTTTCACAGGCTGCCCTTCTCTTGGTCTGGTCTGTGCACACCTGGAAAAGAGTCTCTGTTCTGACTAACTTCAGGGAGCCTGAGGAGCCCAATTTATCTGGAGGACTTAGACTGGAGAGTTTGGTTCTAGTAGATTGGCACCTCCTGTGGTTTTAGACAGATAGATAGATAAGATCCCTCCAGGGCAGATTGCTACTTTCACATGGTCTTTACACCAGTTGGATTCTCATCCAGCTTAAATAGGGCAGTTGCAGGCTAGAGGGAGCCCTGGTTTGCCCCACAGGCCTCCCAGCCCCACAGTCATGCTGGTTCTCAAGTCGTTCTCAAGGTCTGTGGGG